ACTGGAATTGTTGATGTCCTTGTATGCCATATTTTTAAGATTTCGATGTCAAGCTCCTTGTGTTTTGATAGTTTCTTGAAGATCTTCAAAGATATATTGCAGTCTGCAAGAACTGCCATATCAATAAGGAGGTACAATTTCTTTTTGCGGTCTCTAATTACGATGTCAGGGTGATTAGGTTTGATTGTTCTGTCTATTATTATTATTATTATTATTATTATTATTATTATTATTATTATATAGCTGTTGTCATTGTTATACATAGCAAATCATAATTTGTAAATTACAGCCACACGTTTTGTTTCAGATGTTATAATGGCAAGTAAATTTATAGAAATTCTGTTAATAACAAGAATCTGCAATGTTATTAGTTCTGAGCTGGTATCTTGGTTTCAGCCACTTATCCACTGTCGTAATGTAGCTTCAATATGCCTTTTCTATAATAATTTAATGGGAATTGTTTTGGTGAGCTTTATTCTATGGTACCTTGACTTCATGAAGGTATCATCATTTTACAGTTGAAATGCTAAGATGTAACCGATAGTTATTTGCTAACAGTTTCTTTTCTCGCACTTCTTTCCGGTGGAACTCTCTTCTGGTTTCTTGGTTTCTAGTCAAATTCGGTCTTCAAAAATTTAAATTCAATGTCAATCGTTATCTAGTGTCGTCTTAATTCCTGTTCTTTTATTGTTCTCGATCCTTAATAATGTTTTTTTTTTTACATATTATCAAACAAACAGTGACCTCTTGCGTTTTTATTGTTCTGCTTTGAGTGAGATGAATACAAAAATTCGTGGCATTATTTTACAGGGGAATGCTAACATATTGTGGCTCCTTGGAGAATTCAGAAAGAGATAAGAAAAATTAACAACATCGGATCATGTTTCCCAAAAGAAGTTTTAATGCTGGTTAGTTGTCCAGAATTGGATAATCATCAGGTGTCGATTATGTTGTTTAAAAAAGACAAGTTAAAAGCGAACCCAACCCCAGATTCAGAGGTACTCCCCGAAGACCTTTCAGATCTTCAAAAGTTACAAAAACGTGTTTACTTTTAGTTTTATATTAAATATTTTGTTACATTTTCTAAGAGAAACACGTTTAAATTTTAGAGCGCTTAGTCAAACTCAGTATATTTAATCATTGACTCTTTAAACCTGATTACACATTTTTACTTGTTGCAGATTAGTCCTCGTAATACAGAGCAGAAAGCACTTTAATTTATACTCGTGTTTATTTGGGGGCTTGGCATTGGCGACTATGATATCTGAACGGCATTTGTATGCAAATGACAAATTACGGACAAAACAACGTCGATAAAAAAAAACTGATTGATGGACTTTCGACAAAACAATAAGAGATCAAAAGGTTCAAGAGTGAATCAAGTCCAAATAACCCGAAGTACTAAAAGGGAACCCCTAAAAAAGATTTCTTTTTAAATAATCTAAGCGGTAAGTGTTTTTTTTTTTTTTTAGAGAGAAAATGTAATTAACTTAGAGAAACTTTTTGTTCTTGTTAAAGAGGCAGAAGTGATTGATGTCCAAAGTGCGAGAATGCAAGAGAAGAAATCGCCTGGCGTGATGAATCGTTAAACATATATTGAAAGTCTTACAGGAACAAAATTGCTTATTTGTTAACGCGTGGTAAGATTTTTTTTTTTTTTTTTTGGTCTTTTTTTTTGCTTCTGTTGTGGAGCCATTTTCTTTCAGGATCTGGGCGATCATGACTCTCCACAACGTACTCCCATTTGTTGCTCTCTGTCACGTTTGAACTTTTACTATATCTTTTTAATCTGTTCTACAATCCATTCAAATAAACTCGCTAAGTAGGTTAAGCCTTTTTCAATCCTTTCACCCGAATAAAGGCAACAAAGCCACAAAGACACAAAGCGTTACTGACTGAATAAAATAAGGAAAAAGTGGAATATTAAGAAGTAAAAACAATAAACGAAGTGGTATCAAGAAGAAAGTTGATAACGATTGAATTTCCAGTTCAAGTTTTGAAAATCAACATTGGCTGGAAAACATGGAGCCAGAAGAGAGTTCCACATGCGAGTAGTGTGAGAGAATAGACTGTTAGTTCTATTCTTATATTATGTTCTCTCTTCTCGTTTGTGGGACTACATGCAACTTACGTTTGCATCTATCCAAATCAGTTGTAAATTGCTGAACCGTTGTTGCTAATCTGGTACTGCGCTTAAATTGAAAACGTTTTGCCATAGCAGATGTCACGTGAGTGTTAAATTCTCTAAGCCTTCTTCCTTACATGATTTATTCCTGATATTTATTTATTTCTCTTTTCCTTGAAACTTGATCATTGCTTCATTTTTCTGTCCTCGATATTCATAGCTTCCATCGGTCGGGCCACTTCTTTATGGCTTCAAATCTCTTCTCTCCTGTATTGATTGCCATACAGAAGATTTGATATTATATAGATGTTCGAAACACTTTTATTCATTTCTGACGACGTCTTAATACGTTGTTTAATTTCTATAAGACGCCTTCCACAACGATTGTGGAAAAACAAATTAAATATAATATTTTTACAGATATTTGTGATTATTATAACTTTTATACGAGGCCGATTGCTTAGAACGTTCACATTCTGACCATGAGACTCGGGTTCGAATCTCACTATGGTCAATTTGTCAGGAAGGTGATTTCCTAATCTTTTTGGACTGGAGGGAAAATACTTGAAAACCATACCATGGTTTGACCCAAGCTTTGTGAGTGATATTGGGTAGATAGAACTCTTGGGGGACGTCGATAGCGGCGCTAGCACGAAGTCACAAGTCATCGTGACCGAGGACATCACGCTCTTTCCCAGAAACTGTAGCTAATGTCTGCTCAGCATATTTGGTAGGCTCTGTGGGTATTGAATAATGCGCCTGAGCAAGCGTTTACAATAGGGATAGGATAGTCATTCTAGTAAACGGGTATCTTCGAATACGAGTGGCCAGTGATACAAATAATAATAATATGTCTAAATTAATCTAGATATATAATATTGTAGTTGTGTTTATTTCCCAATAGAAAAAGGCCTACAAAATATGAATTTATAAAAATGATGAGGGCTGATGTTGAAACACCGTTTAGCGTAAGTCGAGCCTGGTCAGTGAATAGAAGGGTGACCCCCTTGGGAACACAAGGTACGGGGTATGCTTGAATATGCGGATGCTATAAAAAGATCACGGTGATATCACATTGAAAAAACTGTCTCGCATGAACATCGAACCTGGTCAGTGACTAAATGGCTTGCGAATAGCTGATGTTGTAAGCTTCGGTGTTTGCAAGCGGTATAAATGAATTACGTACAAATCACATTGAAAATTTGTCCTCGAATGATCACTGAAGTTAAGCAACGTCGAGTCTGGTCGGTACCTAGATGAGTGATCGCTTGAGAAAATGGCTTACAGTCATATCCCTTTGAAACACTGATTCTCGTATGATCACCGAAGTTAAGCAACGTCGAGCTTAGTCAATGTAATGGAATTGAAATTGGAGAACCTAGTACTGGATTTCGCAGAAGTAAATTCCAATTGCATTAGTGTTTGTTATATTCCCTTACGCGCGAAAAACCCTGGTAAATGTAAAAATCAGCCCCTCCGCTATGGGTTAATTAGGAGGAATTGTTTCAGTAAAGAATTAAAATGTGAAAAAATTTCTACCATCTAAATATAATTTCTGGCTTTAAATAACCAATCGGTTGATAATCCGTAAAGAAACCATCAATCTATAGTCAAAGACTACATCAGAAGAGTTTACTAAAACGTGTTAATTAGAAATGTATTCGCGTACTTATTAAAGAGTATTTTTTTTTAATCAGTATCACTCTGTAGAAGGAGAAGGTGACAAAACTTTAAACTTATTTTAGCAATTAATGCCTGAAATTGGTTTCTTCTGTCTCTCTCGTCTGCGACACTTGCAGCCAATTAAAAGTTCAATCAAGAATCTGCCGTAACATTCCAACAGGCAACGTAGTAAAGACAAAACGGGATCTGAAATGAAATCTTCACTTCGCAACAACCAAAACGGATGTTCGTTCACTAAGCTCAAAAAATCGTTCTCCCGGTAAGCAAAAACAAAAAAAAAACTATAGAATCGAAAAGCATCTCCGCGTCCTTGTCGGTGATGAATTATCCCCCTTTACTAACCCTATCCCAAAAGACGAAACGTCGCAAGTCTCTCATCGTTCTGTTGCTATTCCCATGGAAGGTACTCAAACGAAATATATCCTTTAGTTCCAATAGTTCTAAGACTCGCCTTACTATTCACATTTTAGCGAACCACGCATATTCCATTTGTATTCCATTACTTGTAGATTCTTCCAACGAACCGCTGCTTTTATGGCACTGACTCCTAGGGGGATGCTTCCCTAATCACTACAATCTTAACCGGTTCAATCTAGGGTTAACTCTTATCTTCCCCGCATAAATTTTACGTATTATTCTGTAACCCTCTACCTCGAGCGGCTCCTGGCCCTTATACAGGATGAGAAAAAAGAAAACTTTTGAAGATGAAGATTGTCTCTGGAGAAAGCCCAACAAAAATAATTAAGCGCTTTCGAAAATGCCATCTAATTAATATTATGTACAATCACCTAAAATTCCAGATTACCGACACTCACTTAAAAAACAAAATGAATGATTCTGTAACACGTTCTCAAAGTTGTTAATTAATGCAAATTAATTAATAAAAGTTATAATTAATGAAATATGCCTGATGCTAATTAAACAGAAATGCGCGTCAATATCTGGTTGTATGTGCATTTATCAGTATATGTGTGTGCATGTGCATCCATGCAATTTAGCCACACGTAACAGCGAAATATAATAATATAATACAAATGAAAACAAAGATAAAGAGAAAGTATTTTTTTTTTTGTTAACAGAACTGTCCATGTCCTCAAAGACCTGACTTGTTATGTTCTTGAAAGCGACCGCATGTCCGGAACAAATCGTTCTTTTTTCGTGTTTGTCATCATGTCTACGACGGTAGCGCCCAATGGCTGTGGATGTTAAGCGCTCTATCTCATTCTCTCTTTCTCTCATTCCCTTTCTCTCTCTTTCTCTCATTCTCTCTTTCTCTCATTCTCTTTCTCTCTCTTTCTCTCATTCTCTTTTTCTCTTTACCTCTTACATTCTCCTTCTTTCCATTGTTCACACTTTCTCTCACTATCTCTCATTCTCTCATTCTTTTGTCACCGTCTTTTTCTCTCTCTCTCTCTCTCTCTCTCTCTCTCTCTCTTTCTCGTCATCCTTCTCTCTCGTTCTCGACATCAGTCTCTGTCTGTCTCGCATGCCCGTTCTCGCTCTCGTTTTTTCTTCCTCTCACACACCCTCACTCTCTTTCTCTTTCTTTCTCTATCTATCGATCTATCTATCTATTTATCTCTCACTCTGTCTCTTGATATCCACCTCCTCTCTCAATCACGTCCTTTCTCACATTATAACTCCCTATTGTTCTCATTCTCTTCCTTATTCTCTGATTATTTCGTTTTCGGCGTCTCTCTCACTCTCTAACTCTTTCTCTCTCGTTCGTGTTGTCTCGCTCGCTTTCTCTCTCTCTCTCTCTCTCTCGATCACCCTCTCTCTCGCTCTCTCTGTTTCTCTCTTACGTTCTCGCTAATCTCAGTATCATTCTTTCTCTCATTCTCATCCTTTCTCAAACATGTCTTCTCCCACCTTTTCACACACACTTTTTTCTTTTCTGTTTTATGTACCGTGTCCTTTCATGACGTAAGCGATCATGGCTCTCCACTTCCTCCCTATCCTTTGTATATAAGTTTCTTCAATAAGTTTCGTCCCTCTGCCACCTCCCCCCAGACCACGTTCTGTCATTCACTTGCTTAATTCGCTGGAATTTCAGGCATTGTTTTCCCTTGTCTCTCTTTCCTACTATTCGACCTGTGGGGATCTGTTATGGAGTAGTTTCACAGTGGAGGCTTGTAGTTGTACTAAGTCGGTCCTAAAATAAGTTCGACGTTAGGAACTTGATATAATTGGTATAACGCAGTGAAATCTAGTGGTAGTCGCTGGTACTGACTGACAAACTCACTGAGCGACTTAGTGACTGACATGTTACCCTTACTACTCCTACTTATTATAGTTGAGAGAGTCTATTAACTATAGAATAGGCGTGTTCCACTATAACAGTATCCGATTCTCCAACATCCAAATTTCTCATTACGTATCCCAGAAACTTCAGCTGCTTTTTGCGGATGTTAATTGAAAGGCCAAAAATCAGAATAAACGTTAAGCTAATGTGGTTGTAAAGCTTCGTAACAACTTAGATATATTCGAAGTGATGATATGGGCAGAGGAGGTTGAAGTTTTGCAAAAGACAATACATACACAATCAGATTATAATACACAAACACGTAGACATATCTAGATATATAAACACGCAAAAACACGAGCGAAACAGGAAATAGATGTCTACGATTCCTAAATATATATATAGAGAGAGAGAGATAGATAGATAGATAGATAGATAGATAGATAGATAGATAGATAGATAGAATGAGACACAGTGGTTAATGGTTAGGAGCTGGGATTGAGTAATCGGAGAAGCGTGTTCGAATTCCTGTCGAGTTAATTACATTCTTGGGAAAGCTATGATTCCATCTCTTGCCCCACCACAGTTATAGGTAAAATATAGTACAGACAGATCTATAAGCTTGGAGGGCAACCAGTCTACGAGAAGGAAAATCTGTATTTTAACGCGTCTTCGGGTGCGGCGTTAAAAGGTGCCCAATTTTCCATAGGGAACGAGGAAACACACACACACATATATATATATATATATATATATATATATATATATATATATATATATATATATTACAATAAACGTGCAATCAATTTACAAATACATGAATTATTCATACAAAACTAATGCAAAGGTTAATGATTTAAATGGCAAGACATCCATCTTGCAAACGATTCAAATAATTACACAAAAACCTCTAAATCCGTTATGCATGAGTTGATCCTTGTTTATATAAATTTCTGCCGTATTAGTTGTTATTTTTACTACAAGCTTTCGTCTGTTCCTACAGACATCGTCAGGTATATAATAGATGTTGTTCTTGGTTTTTTCTCTTAGTAATAAGAGGACATCGAAAAAATATATATATCCGAAATGCTATTAAAAATGAGTTATTGGTTTTGAACGCGCCAAAGCAACGCTGAGTTTGATTTTGAATTTTTTTTTTTTTTTAAATGTCTGCGTCTATACCAAATATGGTAATGAACAAATGTTTTTTTACTGGTAAATTTTTTACTGTGTTTGAACTATATTGTTCAATAATTACAGTAATGTCGCACTTATTAACCAAAAAGTCGCACATGGATCAGATATTTAAATTACAATAAACGTGCAATCAATTTACAAATACATGAATTATTCATACAAAACTAATAAGGTTAATGATTTAAATGGCAAGACATCCATCTTGCAAACGATTTATCAAAAACCTCTAAATCCGTTAATCAAGGTTGATCCTTTTTATAAAATAGCTTTCGTCTGTTAACATCGTCTATAAATAGATGTTGTTCTTGGTTTTCTCTCTTAGTAATAAGAGGACATCGAAAATATATGTGTATTATCCGAAATGCTATTAAAAATGAGTTATTGGTTTAAACGCCAAAGCAACGCTGAAAGTTTGATTTTTTTTTTTTTTTTTTTTTTTAAATGTCTGCGTCTATGCCAAATATGGTAATGAACAAATGTTTTTACTGGTAAATTAAAAAAAAAAAAATTAACCTTTTGCATTAGTTTTTAATTCATGTATATATATATATATATATATATATATACCTCTCATGTATATATATATATGTGTGTTTCTTTCATTAAAATCATTGTAGAAATTCAGATTTTTTTCTTTTATTGGTATATATATATATATATATATATATATATATATTATTTATTTAAATATATAATTCCAAATCGCGACATAAGAAGTCCCATGTTTGAAACATGAATTCTTATGTGCGATTTGAATCATATTTTTAAATAAATAATTATATTTATGCTCTACTTTTGTATCGAGCACTATTTTTTAAAAATAATAACTAAAATACTAAGGGTTTTGGATTATTTACCTAACCAGTTCCTTCCTTATTTTCTATATATTTTCACACACATATATATATATATATATATATATATGTGATTAAGCTTTTTATTTAATTTTTCTTGTGTTCGAAGAAGTGTTTTCTTTTTGGTACACAGAATGTGTAGAAACTGTTCCAACACGGAACGAACATTATATCAAGAGTTCAAATGCCCCTTAAGGAACTGTATTACTGATCAAACCGAATTCATAAATAATTACATCGTCACACGACTACATGTATTACGTTACACCTATCTGACCACAGCGCTATTAGAAAGCATTTAAATACACACAAAAATTTACCTGACTCCACCCGAAACATACTGCTAGAAAATAAAACCATAATAAAAAAAATTAAAAACAATGGAAGCTTTAATAATAAAAAAGAAAAAAGGCAATACTCAATAATATTAACTATGAACACGGCTACAATGTTCTGTGTTCGGATAATAAAACATCCCTATAACTAAAAACATACACACAGCCCACACACCCAATTAAATTGAAAAAATATCACCCTTGATAATGGCTCAAAGTTTATATATGGTGACAAAGATAAAGACAATAGTCCGAATAATGTAAATAGTACACACACACACACGCATATATATATATATATATATATATATATATATATTCCTCAATCCGAACCGCTATCCATTACTCAGCCTTACCTTCCACTCGAATGCATTACACTTACGTGCTAATACCCTTGAGAAAGGCATGAATCCTCTTCTCCCTCCAGCTATGGGTACATAAGAAGACTGAGTTCTATAGCCTTGGATAGCAACTGGTCTAGGAGAATTCAAAACCTGCGGAGGGTCATTTTTCACCACAGTAATCACGTCATATGTAGAGGTGTCTGACTGTCGGTTCCTAGGAAATGAGTTTATTCCGATCTCAGGAATATCCAAACTTGAGACAGAATTCTACTGTTGTGTTTACATTTGATGGAGTAGAAATAGTAAGCCAGCGTGCCATTTTTTCTCAATAAACCGTTTATTATAATTCCTGACAAATACAGTTGTTCTTCTGATTGTTTTGTCAAAAGCAAAACACTCCAATCAATATACCAACAATTGTACAACATTAAATCTCTTAAGGAATCACCACAGATATTTCATTTGATGTTATCCTTAAGATTCCGATGTTGATATTGTTTCAAATAACTTATTATTCAGTAAATGAATAGTTCGTAGCCATAATTCCGTATTGGGACCAAAAGCTCAATTTATTTCTTTAAATAAAAATTCGACAAAGACACAGTTTAAACATTAAGACGCTAAGACCGGTTTCAGTTTGTTTCCGTAAAATTTTAAAGCCTGGACAATGTAAACTGTTTTCGAATGTACAAACGTATGGAAAATGCAAATATTTGAAAGATGAGACGATGGAATATTATCTTTGAAAATGTCTGAAACAGATCGTTTCGTTATGTCAAATATTAGTTTTGTTGCGCAGTTTAAATCTCTCAGTAAAGAAATTTAGTAAAAGGAAGGTTGATTTTTTTCTTTAGTTTTTAGTCGAAATATGATTACTCACAATATAAAGTGTGCGTAAAAATGTCCATCGCCGTCTTTTTGGAAAAGTATTGGCTGTGTACACATTTTGAGAATAGAGTGTTTTACATAAGCAAAACAAAATATGCTGTATAATTAAATAGATAGATAGATAGAAAAGAAGAGACTGATATATATATATATATATATATATATATATATATATATATATATATATATATATATATATATATATATATATATATATGCTTGTGTGTATATATACACACAAATACGTCTGAACATACATATATACACAAATATATATATATATATATATATTATAAACAAAAAGCAGTCGTGGCTCTTCGATGAGTATCGCTGCGTAACTTAGTGAGTAGCTGCGCTATATCGAATCTAGTTTTAGTCTTCTCTGTCATCTAGGTGTACAGTTGATATGACGTTTGCGTTGTATCAAAACGGTCCGTGTTCGATGCTCGGTAGTGGATGCGCACTCCTGGTGAATCCAACGTAGGACGAAACGGCCGTCCAGTGCTTGCTGTATTCTGTTGAAGGTTATTCTATTCTTGAGGGATTACTGTATGATTGACTTAAAATCCCCAAAAACAAAATATATATTTATATATATATATATATATATATATATATATATATATATATATATATATATATTCACCCTTGGAAGTGTGGTCTGATGAGCCTGGGAAAAAGAAATTTGTTGGGGAAATAAATTATCACTAATGGATCTTAATGTTGTCTGTTTTAATTGAATTAATCGCTCTGATATATTAATTTCAAGCGATAATGTTACACAACCAAATTTGAGGATAAGCTTACCAAAATATATTTTTCTTTTATTTACTCATATTCTTTGTTTTTTATGCTTTTATTTTCTCCGTCATTATCAAGATCTAAATGATGCCAAACAAAAGTTTTCTTAGTTACAACTACGCATTATTACAACGTTTCATTTAAAATTTATA